AGGAAGAGTTGTTGCACATCCTCTCCAGATAAATACCACCCTTCCTGCTTCACACAGATTCAAATTAAAAACTACACTTACATACTGTACAAGCTACACTGATAAAGCTTTACAGATCAGTCTGTAATGTGGACTTGGAGGAGCTAACATAAGCTGTTTTCAGACACCAAGTCCAGACCCAATTTCTGGAGGCAGGAGGTAGCGCGTATTTACAACACATAATCACTCTCAAATCTTGTTGTCTTTCCAAGCTGACATCTTCTTCAGCATTCTCTACATGTACGAGATATTTATATCATTTAGTTTTTTCCACTTTTACGTCAGCTGCATGTCTCACACAGTCATTTTTCAATTCATTTAACTTAGCTTTTTCTTTTGCCAATGAGCTCTTTCTTTTCTGTTAGTTCAAACTCTATAATTACACACTCTTCAGAAATGATCAACCAGCCACATACTAACTGAGTAACAACAGCCACCGCATCAGAGGTCATTAACTCCTGCTATCACTGCTGATTAAACCGTATCCCCCATTACTATCACTCTATTATTGATTTGCCATAACAATCAAAGTGTTATTTATTGGCCATCTGGAGTAAATATAAATAAAGCTGTATCATTGCTGCTTACACTTAATTCAACATTAGCTTCCCAGGACATCTGCTATTTGATTAAGGGTAAAACATTAACAAGTAGTGTTTAAAGTCTACAGGAAGTTTCTACAAACACAAGGAGAGATTTTCCTCACACTGAGATGTCAGTCAGAGAAGCATATACATGAATTAGCTTGTGACCAGGACAAATTACATTGTATTACTTGAATCCAACAACATGCCTAGTGTATCAGGGTTTAAGTAACTACACATTCTACCGGGCTTAATACCCAAAAGCACTTTGTTAAGATGTCCCCACAACTTGTCAATTTTGGATTGAATATGTTTATTCTTCACCAATCTCTCTGAGGCTTTATCGAGTTATATAATTTCAGTATTAAACATTTAGTGTATAAAAAACAATTCATGTGTGAAGGAGCCAAGAAAGTTTGGGGGTGAGGGGCAACCACTGTTCATTCTTTAATGTGCAACTACCTTTGACAGATTGAGTTGTAGCGTAGACGAAAAAGTTGGCATGTCTGACTCAAAGACTAGCAAAGAAAAAAATGAGTTTAATTCATTGTTGTGGCCGGAATACATCAAGCTGGGTGCACTCAGTTCCAGTGTAGACTTTAAAGATTCACACACTTTCCCACAAAGTCTACGAGGATTCAGGGCTGTCCCACTGTGAAGTCGTAAAGTGCTTGAGGGCTTTCGCGCTATATGAAGAACACTCTGTGTGATGAGGCCTTAAAATGATGAGTATATCAACACCCTCCACCTCACTTGAATGGGAAAGTGGTCTCAGTCTTTACAACCCCACAGTATTTATCAGAAGCCCAATAAAAGTTTCAACTAAATTAATATTTAGTCATATTGTTATGGCTAAAAATACTGGATTTCACACTTTGGTATGTCAGAGGCGCTTTGCACCGCTGAATTGCTCTCCGGGGCGTTTGAAAAAGGCTTGACAAAAATGTAAATCAGTAACAGCTGTTACTAAGAAGCACTGCCAAACACACACACACATACACACACACACACACACACGATCTAGAGACACACATGCAAGCATGAGTGCACATACACACATGCACAGACCTTGGAAACATATACCTATGCTTGTTTACATGGACTTTTAACTCTCACTACAGAAAACACTGTACTTTTGCTATGATCAATTATTGGTGGGTGATTCAGAGGAAGGCCTCTTACAAGGGCCAACACAATCAGTGAAATACAAAGGCAACTCAATATGCACGCCTGTCATTTTACAATGTTTGAATAGGTGACCTAAGGGTAAATAGGGCCGATAAATTGTGAGGCAAGCAAGTTGATACATGATTTGTCATGAGCATTTAAGAAACTTGAGCAAATTCAATTACACAACCCAACTTTGCCAGTAGCACTGAACCCAGATAATGTGTGTGACCCTAATAGAGAACTAATGAGAGCTGACAGTGAATGATATGGAGCCATTTTAGAGCTGCATGACTCACATATGATGTTCAGAACATGCATCTCCACTTAGAGGGATAATAATTTCATAATACTTTGAATTTGCTCGTTGGGTTTTTGCAACATCAAGTGCCTTATTGAAGTGTTTCTCTCCAGGTATGACAGTCAGTAAGGGGTGTAACGATTCTGTAATGTGATGAAAACATTAACTATATTATATATATATATATACTGTATATAGAAACAATCTTTAAGCCTAAAATATAAACACAAATGCACATCTTTTCAGCATTGTTTATTCAGCACATATTAACCTGTGAATTTGAAAGGCACCAAACAGGTATTTGTGCAAATTAAGCACCAGGACTGATAAAGATCATTATGATGCTGCTTATATTTGTGGTATAAGGTTTGGTTATATGGCATCACCATATTGTTACATTCAGGATCCATTCAAAAATCTTAATCTTAATTACAGTGAAGGTGCTGAACCCAACTGCCTTTCCTATTGGAACCCTGTGCTACTACAGTGAGTGGCCCCTTTCAAAAGGTGCACAATAATGATGATCATCATCAACAACAGCTCAGTATGTGCTGTCTGTCAGGTCACTGGCTCTAATAACTTTCCCTCCTCAGCCATAACAATGTGACTCCAATGCCAGCATCTGTTACTGGCCAACTGGCTGGGGACCATGGGAACTAGGCTCTGAAGAGACTGGGAGGTAAACTCTTGTGGCATTTTCAATAAGATGAGTGCTCTGCTGAACAAATGCCTCATAACGCTGCAGTTGGTAGACAATTGGGGTTGCTCTAGCCTTTGCATGGAGGCATACAAATCCATAATTTGCGTAAAATTGCCTGAAATGATGTTGGAAAGTTAACACTGAATGTCTCCAGGCGAACAGGCTGTCTGCATGATTATCAGCAGCTAAGCCTGTTGCACCTGTTGAGTTTAAAATGGAAAAATCAACACTGTGGCATATACTGTACATTGGAATTGCTATTGACGGCAGATTGAGACACATAACTCGACATAGGAAATAGCGAATGTTGTGGCAGGTTCTATCAAGATAGAAGAGATTGCGAGGTTATGAAGACTTCATAACACTTGCTGAGAGTGTACATTGAATCAATGACTTCATGTGCTGACAGTGATCAAAGGTGCATCGTGGTATTTAGAGGCTGCTTCTCAAGAGGAAAAAATCAGAGCGCTGGTTTTTTTCAAAGCACCTGGCTGAGTTACAAAAGGATTCCTCCACTGCAAATATACTGAAAACCGGAGAGTCACACACAACCAGCAGAGTTCAAACTTCAATGAGTCAATCCTATGTGGGAGGACTAGATTACAGTCCTCTAGCCCGAAGGCTACCACTTCATCTGGGCTGGGTTTGCTGCTTTGAAAACCACCGCCTCCAATCACAAAATACAGACTAACATTAGCATCAAACAAGACCACACAGCTCCAAGAAAAGTAATGAACTGCACGTGCATCCAAGCGAATGGGATCATACTCCGCAATAAGCATGACATACCAGTGAAGGGTCTGCAAGAAAGTTTGTTCTTCTTCAGGCAAGTTAGGAAATACAGTAACAAACAATATGGGATATTCTGCTGTGGTTTTCTGTGAACTGACTATTTGATTATGATCGCCATACATGTATCTATCATTCTATGGATTCTTTTCAATGTATCAATCAATCAATACTTGTGTATAAAATCTAAAATTGCAAAAAAAATAAATGAATATTGCAACCCTCCAATGTCACATTGTTATTTCTTTTAGGTGTACATGAGTGAAGGTTGTGGTTTTAAACTCTTCTTTAGAGTGATGGCTTCAATACTCCTGTGTCATTCAATCACCTGATACTTAAAATAATTGTATTGTCAATATCTAAATTAGCACAAACTTCTTTACAGGGACACTTTTGTAGTAGTTCTGGTGGCTGGACTTCCATTTCACTGCAGTGAACTTATTCTTGACTCATTATGACTCATCTTTTATTATTCTTATGCTCTTGTGTTTGACTGTTTTCTGTTGGTTGGATGACAAACTTTTCCTCAGGATCACTTAAGTATCTATCTATCTGTCTGTCTATCTATCTGTCTGTCTATCTATCTGTCTATCTGTCTGTCTGTCTGTCTGTCTGTGTACTATACTTCCCTACTGTGCACAATATTGAAATATTACACTGTTTGCCTCTGATGACATTTACATACGATAAATATTGAGATTTTTTTAATTTTCCAGTCGAAGTCTTTTTGACTTTAGGACTGTCAATCAAATTTTAGGACGTCAACTTTTTGTGACCAACATTTCCTGACAAATAATTTTAATAATCAATAATGATTTTGAAGTGATCATGAGTTGAGCCCATTTTAGAGGAAAACACCGATCAACACATGTAGTAAAGTTAATCTCCTCTCAATGAATCCAAATCGACTAATGAACCGACTAATCCATCGACTAATCGTTTAAGCGCGTTTAAGTATCACCATGTATCACCATGGCGACGGTGAAGTAAAGTCAGGTGTTGCAGGATAACAGTGAAACTTCTTCCTCGGTGGTTTTCACAGTGACTCGTGGTGAGTCCCGTTAAGTCCGGTTCACACCAAACTAACCCAGCATCACTACCTGAGCTAACCAGGCAGCTAGCGAGGTGAACGCTTAGCCTAGCGCAGCAGAGCAGCCACAGCGTTAAAGCAGCACAAGTTCTGTCCGCACAGGAAGTTCAGCGGCTGAGAGGAGAAAAGTTTCTCCGCTGACAGACAGAGGTGCTCCGGGGCTGCGGGGCTGGATGTGACGGCAGCTTTCAGCGACATGTCCCGACATTCCTCCCCAAGAAGCAACTCACCCACTGCCGCTAAAACAAACTCGCTGTCACCGCTTCTCCACCGGTTAACCGACTTCACTTCGCCCACCTCACCCCGTGAGTGTGCCTGTGAAAGTCTTACCTGATAAATGTCATGGATATTGAAGTGCGAAAAAGTATAAAAGTTTTCCCGGTCCTCCGGCGTAAGGTCTCCACACGGACTCCAGTTCCCCCAGTGGATCCGCCAAAGGTGGGCAGGCTCCGGGCCGCTGGGCTCCTCCTCCTCCTCCTCCCAGCATGAGGT